GAGGGGCAGAGAGAGAGGGAGACACAGAATCCGAAGCAGGTTCCAGGCTCTGAGCTGTCAGCATAGAGCCTGGCGCGGGGCTCGAACTCATGGACTGTGAAATCATGACCTGAGCCAAAGTAGGACGCTTAACTGACTGAGTCACCCAGGTGCCCCTGTGGTTGGACTTTCAAGCGGGTAGTCTTGGGGTGACACTGAATTTTCTGGTGGAAAAGTGGGTGTTACAGGTTGAGGCAGGACCTGAAAGCAGCTATATTACAAATATTCATACTTTTAATGCAGGGTTTCTACGTCTCTGCCTATGGACATCCTGACCAGAGCCTGCCCAGTGCTGAGGTCTGTGTATCTTAGGATGTTTAGAGCATCCCTTTCATGATAAAGAATATGAAGGACTCTCAAAAGTGTTCGTGTAGCCATTCTGCGAAACTGGCACAGTCACTGAATAAATACATTCATTACTTTAGCAAGCAAATAAACCCAGTGATCACTTGCTATGGACTAAGTTGAATTGGCCCCCAGGTGATGATGGATTAATGTTCTCGGACAACCCTGTCATCCACGGTGCCCGGGGCTGTTGGACTCACCTGGCTGGGTGTCTGACGGGAAGGTCTCCGCGTGGAACGGAATTCCTCCCAGGACAGCAGGTAACAGGGACGAAGGCTCTGTCCTCAGCGGAGACAGCAGGGGGGACTGAAGCGTCAGTCCCCAGCCAGAATTAGGACTCAGAGCAAACAGACAAAACCCACTCGCCTTCCTGTCCAAGGTCGCACAGGCTGACAGGAGACCAGAGGGTATTTACACCTCCCTGTATCTGCTCATTAGGCGCGTTTCCCTCTTGTTACTCCAACCTCTAAGCCTATGATTCCCAATGGAAAGCTGCTCTGGACATAAAGGGTTTCTTCCTGATGAATCTCAGTTCCCAAAAGACTAGGTTAGAGATCAAGTGAGTCCAGTTCTTTTCTTCTTTCTCCTTTTCCCTGAACTTGCCTCTTCCTGTTATGTAAATCTCCTAGCACGTTATCTCAGCTCGGAGTTACACTTTTCTCCAGCTCTAAGAAGGAAGAACACACCGGGATTAGGTCTCTCTAACTTCAAAACCTTGACTGGTCTCGGGGAGCCAGCCCTGCCATCTCCAGTGTCTCCTCTTCTCCTTCCCCTCCCCCTCTTCCTCCTCCTCCTCCTCCTCCTCCTTCTCCTTCTCCCCCTCTCCCTCCTCCTCTTCCTCCTCCTCCTTCTCCTCCTCCTTCTTCTTCTCCTCCTCCTCCTTTTTCTTCTTTTTTTCTCTTTCTTCTTCTCCTCCTTCTTCCCCTTCTTCTTCTTCCTCCTCTTCTTCTTCTTCTTCATCTTCTTCTTCTTCTTCATCTTCTTCTTCTTCATCCTCTTTGTCTTCTTCTATAGGAGAAAAAGTACCAAGGAGGGGCAGAGAGAGACAGGGAGAGAGATAATCATTAGCAGACTCCTCACTCTCAATGCATAACTGATGGGGGCTCAATCTCCAGGTTCCTGAGATTGAGACCGGAGCCAAAATCAAGAGCGAGATGCTCAGCCAACTGAGTACCCAGCAACCCTAGTGTCTATTCTTTAAAAAAACATTTTTTAATGTTTATTTATTTTTGAGAGACAGACAGAGACAGAGCATGATCAGGGGAGGGGCAGAGAGATAGGGAGACACAGAATCCGAAGCAGGCTCTGGGCTCTGAGGTATCAGCACAGAGAAGCATAGAGAAATGGGTTCTTCTGGTAATAAACCTTGGGTTCTACACACACTGGCTTCAAGACACTTTTGCCAACACAATTAGGAATTAGGAATTTCTTACATTATCACAAGGTAAAAGCTGTCAGTTGGTGCCTTGTTATTAAATGTTTAATTATAACAGATGTATTTAAATATTTTACGTACTACAATGTGAGCGACATCTCATAGGGATAGTTGGATTCAATTTTTATAAACATACCTAAGGAAGTACATTTATGAGCTCCATTCTACATTGCAGAAATGGCGCTTGGTCATGTCTAGTCATCTGTCTGATTTAATACCTGAGTATGTGGTGACCCTTGAGTTTGATTCTGTCAGGATGCTTCTAGTTCTCAAACTCTGGGGCAGTGTTTCACAGCCAGAAATGATTTTCCACTGAGGATGTCTGTCAAAGTGTGAAGGGAAGCTGCCAAACACCTACAATTCAAAGGGAAGCACCCCTTGGGGCGCCTGGGTGGCGCAGTCGGTTAAGCGTCCGACTTCAACCAGGTCACGATCTCACGGTCCGTGAGTTCGAGCCCCGCGTCAGGCTCTGGGCTGATGGCTCAGAGCCTGGAGCCTGTTTCCGATTCTGTGTCTCCCTCTCTCTCTGCCCCTCGCCCGTTCATGCTCTGTCTCTCTCTGTCCCCAAAATAAATAAACGTTGAAAAAAAAATTAAAAAAAAAAACAACAAAGGGAAACACCCCCTAAAATATTATCCTGCCACAAATGTCGATCATAAAAGGTGAGAAACCCAGCTACACCAGCCGTTCTCCAACTTCAATGTGCGTGTGCATTCACACAGATCCCACTACAAATGCAGAATCTGATCTCGCATCCTGGGTGGCCCAGAGATTCTGCATTTCTACCAGCTCGTGGGTGATGCTAAACTGTGGGTCTGGGTCTGTGGGCCACTCTTTGATTAGCAAGGCGGGGATCTTGTGTTAAAGACAGGTGTAGATATTTTTAAGTCTTCTGCACCAAATGGTGTCCTTGCATGCATGCAATTTTGAAGGAATAATGTATTCACCCTTTCTTCA